CTTGGAGTCGCCTTAACGACTAGCCTGGATTTTGAAACAGCTTTCTTGGGGGCAATAGATGATCGTCAACGGTGATGAGTAGTGAAGGTTGCCGGAGAATTTTTGTTAAGAAATTTTGATAAAAAACAAGAGTCAAGATGACTCTTGATTTGACCTTTGGTGGTCCATTTATAGACAGCTAGAGCTGTCGAATTAGCACAAGATTTTAGGTAAAAATCACGCCCAAACGCGATCTTCGCGTTTTGAACTTGAAACGCGAAGGTGAACCTCTACGTTTTGATTTTGAAGCGCAGGGCTGACCCAACGTAAGTGAATGCTATAAAGCGCGAGGAGAATGAGAAATATAAAAAGCTTTTACTTTTCTGTTTTGTTGGTTTTTGCAGGCATAGTAGCATTAAATGTATGTGAGTTTGACAGGAGCTGTAAGACAAACCCAAAATAATTATGCAGAAGCTCCTTGGAAGAGTATCATGTTCTTTGAAGGGCAAAGATCTGGAAAACTCCCCTCCTCACAGAGGATGGCTTGGCGAAAAAATTCTGCGCTTCAAGATGGTCAATACATTGAAGTTCTCTCTCTCTCCCCCCTCCCTTCCTCTCGTGTGCATCCCTTGTGTGTGTGCATGGTGTGCATGTGCATAGGTACAAATACCTGCGCAAACCACGTACATTCCCCTCTTCTTTTGTCTTAACCACATGATCATGTCTATAATCTCATCTTCACAAGAAATTGGATTTAATTAGGAGTTATACTAATGTGAAGCTTGTATTTTGTGATGCATTTTGTATATTAATTAGTTTTTTGTTGTATGCCTATTGTTGGGCTTTACATCTTTATTGTTTCAAAATTATTGTTTATTCTACATTAAGTCTTTCTGTCTAGTTATTTAAGCAATTGTCATCTTGTCAAGTAAGTTTTTTTATTTACATTCTCTTCCTGGTACCCTCTCTATAACACTAGTATGAACCCTGGTTCTTGAAACTCTTTTTAGTTTGACCACTAAATATTTTGCAAAAAATACAAAGTGTCAGTACTGAAGGTAGTTACATAAATTTGATAAAAGTGATTTATTCATTTGTGTCCAAATCCCAAATTTCTATTTAGTTTTTGGTGTCGGAGAAGTATGTTGCTTTTGTATGTTGGTTAAAATTTACTTGCACATCAATCTCATGCTGATTCCTCTCAGAAATTGGAACCTGCTTCAACACTTTTCTTGTGAGAAACATGGCAGTTTTTTTAGCATTTATTGTTTGCCTTTTTTGCATCAAAATAATCTATTTTTTATATTATTAGTGCGTCAAAATGATAGATGCATGTAGATGTCAATAGTATTCTGTTAACAAGAGGATGCAAAAATTATTATCTCTGTACTTTTATGGATTTATTAACTTGTCGATCACTTGATTACATCATTGTTGCTGGGTCTTACTAGCTCAGGATCCTCTTTGTGAATGTCTAGGTGTTGACAGATTCAAAATGATATCCATTCATTACATGCTTATATCATCCTGATTGTTCGTACCAGAGAACTTTTTCTAAAGGACTTTACTTTTATATGGAATTTAGGATCATTCTGGCCCAAGCTAGGTTGCACTGGTATGTGTATTGGTACGGGTAGGGTAGGGGTACTAAAAATAACTAAAAACTGTGGGTTATATAGCTCATGATACTGTAAATTTTGGTCTCCGCAAAACTATTTGCCAATGGATCCAAATGACTAAAAATAGATAAAATGGTGGGTTATAGCGTATGAAATCGTGAACGTTCACCTCTGTGAAATTGTTTGCGAACAGGTCGAAACGACTTGCTTGCGAAAAGGCCTACAAAGAGGCATGCTAGACGCTTCTTCTCTATTGATTGGAAGATCCAGCAGGTGTTGTACCTATATCAAGTCACTTCCTACGAACAAATGCAGCAACACTGAAAAAGGTGGTGAGCGAAAGCTCTGTAAGTAACAAAAATGAACATGTAAACAAGGACCGGCACAACCGAGATGAATTGTAGAGGAAATGTCAATATACCTAGTAAATCCCCAAGGGATCGACTTGATTCAATAAGACACCAGCAGTTTACAAATTTGCTCTTATTATTTTCTGGGCTCTGAATTTTCGTCGGATCATGGGACTTCGCTGCAAGTATGCGATCAGTGACGTACTTGCGCACTGTTAAGATGTTATCTCACACGGGGCACTAGTTCAAATATCAGCTCTCGGTCCTCGGTGAGATATTACTTTACACATGGCACTTTATATATAACTCCACGGAAATAGTGTGCAAATTAAACATCTATTGGCAACATGTTCTACGAGCACCAACTTCATAATGAGTTTCCATCAAAGGTATCGGTAGGGAATAGTCGTATTCCAAAAGGAAAGAGATACTTTCAGTGACATCAAAGCAACGAGCATTCCTACAAAGAACATCAATTGATCTTATAGTCAGATGAATATTCTCCAATTACAAGGATACTAGTGTGCACCCTGTGCAAAACACGGTCTCCATTTTTTTATTTTCGCTACAGTAATTTTGTATTTAAATACAGTTTTTGTAAGCGCTACAGCAACATTTTTAATTGCTACAGTTTCTCGTCTGAGCTACAGTAATAATACTATAGTAATGTTCTTAAACACTACAGTACATGTATGTGTTACAGTAATAATGCTACAGAAATTTATTGTATCATGGATAGTAAACCTTGGATCCTTCAGTTAGTGCTACAGTAATAATATTGTACCATTTAATTACTATCGTATAAATAGTGAATCTTGGATCCTTCATTATTATAGATGAATATATATCAAGTTCTAGTTGTATGAGATAAGATGTCCATGTCAGAATATTGCATATAAATAAAGGCTCACAGTGAAAAATCAATACGGGAAGCATCGGGAAATGTTACTTACCGGAATGTCGACCAAATCTCATAATATGATTGTTAGTGTACATGGTCGTCTCATTTATCCCCTCTGGACATTTTTTTTCACATCACTTTTCCCTACCAAAACTAATATATATTATGTTTATCCCTCCCAGGGCTTATTTAAGACGAAATCACCTCTTAATTGTTTTATTTATTTATCTTATTTTCTAGTTCATTAATATTTATTTTACTTATTTTCTAACCAATTGAACTCTTTGTAGGAATTTTCTTTCATCCAATTGGAAAGACTTTGTTCAAACTATTTTAAGTCATTTATCAGTTTTCTTGAGGAAAAATAATAATTCCAATAGGCTTTAATTGTCACTATTCAGTTTTTTATCCCCAAAGAAAACAATAATATCAAATTGGTGGGTTTAAGAATCAACGGGCTAAAATTTTGGCTATATAAGGGGAAAACCCGCCTTTGCTTTTGAAATGCACAAAAAAAAGCGAGGAGTGGGGTACAAAATGAAAAAATAGAATAACATAATAGCGGCATAAGTATGAAGGGAAGGGGGCACAAAATAAAAAATAGAATAGCATAATATCGCAGAAGTATGAAGGGAAGCCCTGCTAATGTGCATACAAGAGCAGAAAAGAGAGACATTAGTTGGAGTCCTGGTCCGTTATTGAGTAACAAACTCAACTAGTTCAGCTGCATTCCTGTTAGCCTGTACGATATACACGTGATGTGAGCCTCCTCCTATGTAAAGAAATAACCCATGCACATTCTCAACGACTGCTTCTGACCATAAAAACTTTGGATTGGATTAGGGTGGGCGTGGGCTGCGCCAGTTCTGTACCGCCCACTCGGGGTTCGAGCGGGTCCGGGTCAGCAGTCCGGCGGGACCGGACCCGCCCAGGTCGGAGTGGATCATCGACTGTTTTTTTGATATTAGATGCTAGGATAGGACCCGACCTAGCCACACTATCCTACCAGAGCGCGGGCCAGGTTCGGCCCGACCCATGGGTTATGAGTTTGGGCCATAGTTCTTTTTTTATTTTTTCTATTTTTTATTTTTTAAACTATATTAATTTTATATTTGTATCTATTAAATTATAATTCTAAACTATTTCATATTTATTCTTTATTTAATTAACACCAACAATATATATATATAAAGAGAGAGAGAGAGAGAGAGAGAAAGAGAGTGAGAGAAATATGTATGCTTGGTATCAAACATAAATTTTGTACTTGATAGTGATATGTCTTATTCTCATCCACTCATTCCAATTCCTAACCATTCACCAACCCATATGAATGTGAGCCTGATTTCAATGAGTGGAGGAAAATATATCACCTCACTCACCAACCCATATTTTTCATTTTTAAACTATATTAATTTTGTATTTGTATCTATTAAATTATCCTTTGTCATTTATTTTTCGCAAAAAAACTAATAATTAAATTCGAATCAGGCTGGTCTAAGCTAGACCACGTCAATATTGAGTCGAGTCAATGGTAGACCGAGCATATTTCTTTGACCTCGGGTCTCGATTTGGACCTAGTCTGACCCGTGACCTGTGTATATCATAAGCCCGACCCACTACGGGCCGAGCCGGGTCTCGTCCCATGACGGGCAGGGCCAGGTCACCATGCACGGCAACTCGCCCATGCCCAACCCTAAAGTGGATCCCATAACTGCAACCCGTACTCACAACACAATGCCACATCATGTACTGGTTTCAGGATAACCTTCTACTCTTCTATTTTGGGTAGATGATAATTACGGGTATCAAAGGAAACCAGTGCCTGAGAGAAAGGGAAAGCGATGCATGTGGCAATACAACTTAGCATCCTAGAACTAGAAAATCAGATATAAATATGTCAATAAATGCTTTGATAAAAGTCGGTTCTCCACCATCAGACTGAATCTATGTACAAATTAGCATCAATAGTATCCGTAATCCGAATCATCACTCCGTAGGGAAGTACTCATCTTTCCACTCAATTTGTTGTTAATGCCAGCAGGACGAACACATTGAGCTAAGGATCGCACCACTTCTGTCATTGCAGGCCTCAGTTCAGGTTCCAACTGCAGAAGACCAAGGGCGATGGGGTTAAAAACAACATAGACAGAGAATGCAACGAACAAGATAACAGCAAGTACAAACCCTCTAAACTTAAATCCCAGTGATAGATAAATTCATACAAAACTAATCACCTAGTGTCATTCTACAGTACAATTCACTTTAATTTGTTTCATTTGTGCCACAGAAATGTAGAGTTCCTATAGCCAAATTTGACCCTTTTTGCAATAAAAAAACTAGTTAAAGGAGTCGAAGCACAAAATCTCATGTTAGATGATTCTAGTATTGACTTGTATTACCAGAACACACTGCGCAATAACATCAGCAAATCGAGATAAAGATTTAGGTGGGTAGAGTCCATGAAGGGCAGGATCCACCATCTGCTTCAATGAACCCATGTCGTGGAGTTGTGGTATGGCCCAAGAAACTAACGACTGCTCTGCCATTGGCTTGGAACTGTAAGGAACCAGGGATATATAGTTAGTCTTATTAACTTCAAGCCAACAAAAAGAAAATGTAAAATAATAGTGTTCCTAGCAGGTTAAAAAAAAGTTCGCACACACTAATGTGTGAGTGAGGAAGACATTTGTTTAATCGATATAGAAATCAGCTGTGCTTTTAGCTCTGTGCTAGAACAGGCTAAGTTTAGCACATCTAAAGATTCACTTCAAACTAATGTGTCAGCCATTGAACAAAAGGAATAAATGTGATCTGCATGTTAAGACATGCAATAGTTTGGCATACAAAAGCAAATGGTGAGATAAGAAAATTTTTTTCTCTCTAGTTACCTGTCAAAAGGCCTCCGACCTGTCAATAGCTCTAACATAACCACCCCAAAGCTGTAAATATCACTTTTCAATGTGTAGGCACGGGTGTTGGTGAATTCTGGAGCATCGTATCCAGGGCTCAAATTTTGTCCCTGACAAAGAAGGATAAGATATCACCATTAATATTTGAAAAATGGATACCAGGTTGTTTTATTTGCTAAACAGATCTACACACCTCGTAATAAGCTGTTAGCCCACACTCAGACAGGTGAGCATTGAGCTCAGCATCAAGTAAGATGTTGGCCGACTTTATGTTTTTGTGGATAGAAGATGGAGAGCATACCTCATGCAGATATCTGTTAAGAGTTTATGTTAATAAGCACAAATGCACTGGGGCACATACTCTGGATTAGCTAAGCTAAGCATATGTGAGATAAGATTCACATTATAGGACACATAATAAAAGTCTGTATAAATACCAAAAAAAATAGCCATAGTATCATACATGAGATACATAACCACAGCGAGTACACATATTTGAATGAAGGCGCTTAATTCACAATGAAGTAGGCGTAAGTATGAGCTGATTACGCACAACAATGTATAACATCCCTAAGCCTGTACACGATGTAAAGAACCTGGCTAATACCAATAATAACAAAAATTTTACATACACATAAGAATAACTGATACGTGACCATTTTTCATTAGTGTTGTAGTTTCCAAATGGCTCATTTATCATTTATGCATTTGATTGCAGCTTTCCAGTTCCATTTAATACCTTTACCAATAATTGCACATACTGACAAACTAGATTCCCTTTGCCTTTTGTCATGATGATCAGAGACTAAAAAGACAGGAATGGAGATAAGACTCGATGTTTAAAAAATCGGTCAAATGTTCCAATATGTCATTTTTATAGGTTCTGCTGCTACAAGAAAGGTTTTACATGTCATTTATCTTTTCTAGTAAATCAACAGTATTGTCAGGATTTTCTGATATATTGAGCTGTATTTTGGGATATTTTTGACATCCTGGGAGATATTTGATTCAAGAATTTCACTATAGCAATTGAGTTCTGAGTTGACATTTATTTTAAAGCTCGGACTTGGGTTCAGGGCAAGGACCTGAATCTGCTTTATATAAATCTCGAAATAGGAGAATTAGAGCTCAGTTAGCCCCAATGCTTCTCCTCACATTCTCGAGTAGAATCTTTTTACCCATGATCGCTTCCTACCCTTCACCCTCGATTGCATGTTGCCACCGTCTCAAACTTTTATGAATGTGCAGTGTGTAAGAGTACTTCAGTTCGAGTACACTTAATAATCTAACTATTTCCTCTCTCAGAAATGATAGCTATTGAGTTCAGAAAAGATACACAAGAGATCTCTACAAAATTTATCCGTGTGAGATTATTTCCTTTACTTAGGATGTGCACAATGACCACATAAAAATGAAGGAAAGATGGCTAGAAGGCGAGAATATACAGAAAATAGTGGAGAAATATTGGGTCCCTAATGACAAGTTACATAAGATGAGGTACGAAAACAAAGCTAGACGCCTTAATTAAGAGGCAGAAACACCTTTCAAAATACAACGCACTGAGATGAAGATGCAGGTCTATCCGTGTGTACTGTGCTCTAGAAGTGTGTACTGTAGAAGTTTGGAATGGAGGAATGTCTTTTTCTACTTTCAATGCTTATCTAGCTGGTATACTTATCTAGCTGGTATACACGGGGATGAATCATTATATCTACTAGAGTAGAGAGTACTTTTAGTGTCTATTTTCTTTATTAAGTGTTCTTAGTCCCACATCGGGCACACTTGTAATCTTAAACTATTTATCTATCTATATAATAAAGAGGATTGATCCACAATGAGATCAAGTCACTTTTCCCAAAATAACATGGTATCAAAGAATGTTATGAGAACCTAACTCTCTAATTCCCTCCTCAAACCCTAATTTCCATCTCATACCCTAAATTCTCCTCATCCGTCTCTCCAAACTTAACCCCAATCAACTCCTAACCTCTCTCACTCTGAAACAGTTCTTCACACGAACAGTAACCTCGATATTGTTCATCATGTGAACAGTAACCTTTTCATCGTGTGAACAGTAACCTCCATACTGCCTCACCCGCGTCTTCATCCCCTCTACAGTTCACCACCTATCACAGAAACTCGATGACATCGCACAAATCACGATGATAGTTTAGATCTAATCATCGCTGCCCCATCAACGACATATTCCTAGACCTTTGCTACTATGTTGATGCCTGAGCACTTCCAGATCTTAAGCTGCTGAAACTCAACTATAGCCCTCGGTTGCTGAGACTTCAGCACTTTTCTCCTTCACAAGATCTCCACAGTCTTCTAGTAGTCTTAGTGAATTCATTCCTCGAGGACGTGGTGGGCGCACTGATCGTGGTGGTCATGATGGACGTAGTTGTGCTCGAGGAAGTGATTCATGTTTTTGTACTCACTATAGGCGAACAAATCACTATATTGAAACATGTTAGTTAGGAGCTTCACGACAAGCCAAGGTGGTCACAAGCTCCATATAATGCATATATCTGTGATAAGGATGGCTTATCTACCTCAGTTAAAAAGAAATCTTCTATTGTCCATCTAATGAGCATGTTTCCATGAGTCGGTCATAGTATAATTCTCTACTTCAGAAGGTGCAGGCGGCATCTACTTCAAAAGTTGTCATTTTAGCCCATCCAGGTATTACTGTCTTGCTAGTACACCTACTTCGTAGATTATTGATTCTAGCGTCTCTTCACATCTTATGGGTAAATCTATAAATTTTTCACAGTTTTCACAAACTCATTCTTCACCTTCTATTTTATTTGCTGATGGGCGCTCACGCAGTATCCTTGTCACCGACACAGTTACACATACTCCTTCGCTTACTTTGTCAAATATAAATTATATTCTAGATGTTCCTTTTAATCATATATTTGTTAGCTGTTTGACAAAAATTTTAAACTGCTCCATTACGTTTTCTCCTTCATCTTATGTGTTTCAGGATCTTCACACGAAGAAGATGATTGGTGGAGAGTATGAACGTGATGGGTTGTACTATCTTCATGGTGCTGATGGACAATTCAGTAACATTACAGCTGTTACTTCTGTTTCTGCTCTTCGGTGACATAATCGTTTAGGTCATGCATCTATTAGATCATTGCATTTTATCATTCCTTCTACTAAGTCTGTCTTTAAATTAGAATGTATTTCATGTCAACTAGGAAAGCATTATAGAACTACCTTTATTTCTAGGGAAAATAACAGATGTAATTCAATATTTGATATTATCATACGGATATTTAGGGTCCTACACTTGTTAATTTTTTTATGTTTTTCTTATTTTGTGACATTTATTGATGATTATTCTCATATGACATAGTTATTTTTGCTTAGTAATCGTTCTGAGATTCTATCAGTTTTAAAAGTTTTTCATCAAGAGATTAAGACATAGTTTGGTTGTTCTTTAAAATTTTGCACTCTGATAATGTTGTTGAATATATACAAAAAAACTTTTCAAGATTCTTCACACGATGTTATTCATCAGACATCTTGTACTCACACACTACAACAAAATGGTGTTCCTAAGCGTAAGAATAGTCATCTTCTAGATATTGCACGAATATTATTGCTTCATATGCATGTACTAAAGCATTTCTAGAGTGACGTCGTATTAACTGCTTGCTATTTGATTAACCCTGTGCCTTCACCTATTTTAAATGGTCAAACACTTGTATTTGTGCTATATAATGATAAGAATAAAAAGGTTTTTGATATGCCTCCTAAAGTTTTTGGATGTCTTTGCTTTGTTCAAATTCTTAATAAAGGGCGTAGTAAATTAGATTCTCGAGCTATATAATGTGTTTTCTTAGGATACTCAAAAACTTAAAAAGGTTATCGATGTTAGAATCCCGAAACCAGGAAATAGTTTGTGCTAATGTTACATTTTTTTGAAGATACTCCTTATTTTACATCCTCCACATCTGAGTCTCCTTATGTAGATGCACCTTTAGCTATATCGGTTATTTCTGAGGAATCAGCAACATCATCGTCGTAGGCAATGAAACCGCTACAAGTTTATCGGCGATGCAAAAATAAAAGTACACAAACTGTCACTATACCTACTATCCAATCTACTTCCGTAGGAAGATCTTGTTCCTGTTCCTCAAGAATCTGATGACTCTGATCTTCCTATTGCCCTTCGAAAAGATAACGTTCTTGTACCCAAAAAAATTCCATTGACAACTTTGTTTCCCTTTGTCATTTATCACCACATTGTTGCCTCCTACCTTTGCCTCATCATTATCCTCTCTGTCTACTCCTAAATCTTTTTGTGAAGGCTATTCAGATCCAGGGTGGAAAAGTACAATAAATAAAGAAATTGCTGACTTGCATTCTAATGAAACTTTGAAACTTACTACTCCACCACTAGGAAAAGTTGCAGTTGGTTGTCGATGGGTGTATGCAGTGAAATTTCTTCCGACAGATCAAGTGGAGTGATTAAAGGCTCGCCTAGTTGCTAAAGGGTATACTTAAACATTTGGCGTGAATTACTTTGAGACATTTTCTCCGGTTGCTCACTTGCATTCAATGCGAATTTTATTATCTGTTACAGTTGTGAAAAACTAGCCATTGTTTTTGCTAGATATCAAGAATGTCTTCTTGCATAGTGATTTGCAAGAAGAGGTATACATGGTTCAGCCACTAGGATATGAAGTTCAGGAGGAGCGTAGTAAGGTTTGTCACCTTAAAAAAGACATCTATGATTTGAAGCAATCTCCTCGTGCATGGTTTGATAAATTTAGTATAGTGGCTAGCAACTATGGCTTGAAGCATCCTACACCGGATCATTCCATTTTTTTTGCGGCATTCTAACATTGGTATTATTGTCCTTACTGTATATGTGGATGATATTGTTATATCAGGAGATGATCATCAATGCATTCAAGATTTGAAGTTAGATCTTAGTTCTCACTTTCATATGAAAAACCTGGGAGTTTTATAGTACTTTCTTAGGATAGAGGTTGCTCGGTCCTCTAAGGGGCTAGCTCTACCTCAAATGAAGTATCTTCTCGATCTTCTTGACGATATTGACATGGTTAATTCCAAGCTAGTTTGTACGTCCATGGACTCTCAATTTAGATTTGATCAAAATTTAGGAGAAGCTCTCTAATCCTACTAGTTACCAAAAATTGATTGGCAAGCTTCTCTATTTGACGGTTACATGTCTCGATATCATTTATGTTGTTGAAGTTCTCAATTGATATATGTAGAATCCACATCAATTACATTGGTTTGCAGCTTGTCGGGTACTACGAAACCTAAAAGGAGCACCAGGAAAATGACACTTTTATCATAGTTCCAACAATTTGGATATTGTAGGCTACTCTGATGCTGGTTGGGCAAGTGATCATCATGATCGACATTCAATTAGTGGTTATTTCATTTTTATTGGCAGCAATTTAGTCACTTGGCGTAGTAGAAAACAAATAGTCGTTGTCCTTTCCAGTGCCAAACTGAGTACAGAGCTATAGCTCATGCCGCATGCGAGATGACTTGGGTTCGCTCACTGTTACAGTAGAGGGGCATTGTTTTCTCAAAGCCCATGGCAATCTACTGTGACAATCAAGCAGCTATCTACATTGCAAGCAACCCTGTGTATCATGAGCGAACAAGGCATATTGAAGTGCATTGTCATTTTATCCGTGATATGGTACTATCTAAAAAGATTGTTATTGCACATGTTCGATCAACTGATCAGATTGTTGACATACTTACAAAAGCCTTGCCACAGTCATTATTTGATGCACTTTGTAACAATTTGGGCATGATTGACATCTTTGCACCAGCTTGAGGGAGAGTATTAGAGTAAAGAGTATTTTAGTGTCTATTTTCTTTATTAAGTGTTTTTAGTCCCATGTCAGGTACACTTGTAATTTTGAACTATTTATCAATCTATATGATAGAGAGGACTGATCCACAATGGGATCAAGTCACTTTTCTCACAATAACAATATCCACCAATCTAGGAAGGAACCATTCTCCAGTTATCAACATTCTTTGTCCAGATTGGATAAAACATGGAATACTACAACAATCGGACCTAAATGGGATACGGTGGTTATGATAGTTGTCGGGGGATTTGAGAAAGAGAACAGAGTACAGTGGTTAGATATAGGTATTGGGGGATTTGAGAGGAAGGGAGGGAGGGAGATTCTTTCGGCTATACGTAATATGATCATATTTTTGCCAAATAAAAACTTTAATCAGTTTCGGCTATACATAATAATTTGGATAATGCAAAGGCACAACATGGACGCTATCCTAGATGGACCCTAATATGCAGATGATTTCATAAGGATTATTTCCCTATCAATCCCTGTTAAGGTTTAGGAATCTATTATATACAATACACACCCTTCTAGGAGGTCTGCATTCGGCAGTTTGAATGTTGGTCACATTTCACTTGAATGCACGTTCCCACCCAAAAAAAAAAATTATTGCTATAAGGCTATAATTTCACCCCTATTGTCTTTAATGAAACTCTTCAATTACCTATTATATTATGTGGATGCATGCCATTAGAAGCACAAAAATATAACTATACGCTATTTATTCCGCCACTCACATTAATAGTCTAACTAATATTTCTACCATTCAAACTACTATCAGATTATAAAAAAATTCATACTTCCCACCTGAAATTCATACTACACCATTTAGACCCTTATGTCAGAATACTGGTTAGTGCGTGCACACATGGAATGCCTCAGCATTCCAGTAACTTAACATGCTAGGATAGAAGATTTGATTAATATCTTCTTTACATTCTAAGAATGTCTTAGAACTCTAGTAAGTTAAGATGCTAAAATAGAAGATTTAATTAATACATCTCCTTACATCCTAAATTCAAGTTTGTTTGGTTTGAGCCTTGCATAAGAGCATCATCAGTTGTAATTCTATTATCCTTTCTAATTGCAACACCACTAGAGCTTCATTCTCAAGCTTAATTGGTGCTGCCTCTATTTTCTCACTTGTCAACTAATTTATCAACTGACTTCAGAACAAAAATAATGAGAGACCTTTAAAGAATTTAATAAGCTACGGTTGCACAAAGATATATGAAATTGTTTCATCCCATTCTGAAATTGCATCTCATATTGTCTGCTGGTCCAATTTCTCTCCGCTATATTGACTGTGAATCCATCTTCACTATGTGAGCAAAGGCACAGCTATGTAGCACGGACACGGATCCGACACGGCCATCCGACACGCCGACACGAGGCAAATCCTAAAAATTACATAGGATACGTGTGTTAGACACGTGTGTCCGACACGGACACGACACGGCTTCATGTTATGCGTGTCCGTGCTTCATAGAGGCACAGAATTGTCTTTGAGGTTGAGCAATCAGCTAGCATATATTAAGTGAAACTACTAATAATATGAAAGGCATTTCTTTTTCATAAGGACATTTATATGGTGTGAACTTACTCCAGAGCCCGAGCTGTCTCTAGAGCAATCCTGACTCGAGTATCCCATGTCAACGGCCTGCTATAATCATCTGATAAATGTAGGAATTCATGAAGAGATTCATTCCTTTGGAATTCATAAACTAAAAGTTGATAACCAGACTCCGAGCAGAAACCAATTAATTCGGAAATGTTTGGATGATGCATCCGAGAAATTGCAGCAATTATGTCCATAAAAGCTGAAGAGCTGTCTCCGGGAAGCTTTGAGTCTATTTTCTTCACAGTCAAAACCTGTGAGCCGTGAAGAGTGCATATTATAACCAACGACTACCAGGTAGTTAAAGGAATATATCTTTGTCACTAAAAAGTTTGGTTACATAGAAATAGTCTATAGTAGATCATTGCCGACTACCTAGTATATTTTTAACAGAAAACTTTGTAGAACGCTGTAGATTTTAGGAAATAAAAATAGACAAGAGTAGAATCAGCAAAGTTCAAAGAAAAAAGTGGACATGGTAGCCTGACAAGGATGGCATAATGGACCTTGTATTAAAATCATTTTCCTATGGTCAGTTTGAAAAATATATGTGCTGACCTTAGAAATTCTTTTCTAGAATATTCCAAATGAAACAAAAAATATTGTTGTACACAGGTTTTAAAGTGACCAAATGATAGAATATTTGGATTTTAAATTTAAGCATACAACCGCCAAAATAAACAACTAGTCACTTTCTACAACATTTTCTTCCTAGTTGATGCATGTCCGTGAAATCTCAAAACCTTGATTTTTGGTTTTCAGTCACTTAAAATAACATAGATTAACTTTGACAGATTAGATCTTCCATTTGTTTATTGTAATATTGAAATCCAATGGTCCATAAACAGGTATACTAACACTAAAAATATTGGTCGACAACTGTGTGCATTTTGAGGTTCCTCATGTGTAATGTTTCAGCGTTCTGATTCCAAATGAAAAAGAAAAGTGATGGTGCACCGCATAAACTGTGGCATTTTGAGGTTTATGTGTCCCCTATAGAAATATAAATTAGGTCTAAGTCATCAAGTTCCTACAGCTAAAAGTTCTGTAAAAAAAATTTATAGCCAACACTTAAAGTCCGTTCTACCAATGTAATGGGAGATGGTAATGATGATACTACTCTAATTTGGTGATGGAAATGATGATACTCTACCTTGGTGATTAACAATTAGTAAGTTCAATTACAATCTTTGCGATGTCTTCATTAGTTAATGATTATCTTCGGAAAGAGAGTACAAAAGAAAAATGGAACATAAACTTTATGCTAAAGGAATGAAGCAAAAACAAAAGAAGAATACACAAGCAAAACAGCACAAAGGCTTCATCCACAACTGTTAAATACACAAATAATAGAGAAAAATAAAACAAGAACAATTTGAACAGTCAAACAAAGAAGGTAGGAACTGGTTGTTGTTACAAATTAGACAGGACTAGAAAAGCCTTACCTTTCCATCTGCATATTTTGCCTTATAAACACTTCCAATGGATCCCTCTCCAAGAAGTCGACTTGAACTAAAGCTCCCAGTAGCTGCTCGCAGATCTATCAATGAATATGTTATGGCATGAGCATGACCTATGCTATGTTTGTTGAGTTTAACAGAAAATTCATTCTCATTTAAGGATTCATGGGGACCAGGAGGTGGGGGTTTAAGGTCCATAGGAGGAGACGTCTGTAACCCCTTCAAGTTAAGGGAAGAAGACACCACTGCTTGCTCTGTCAATACCTCATTTAGTCAGTAAACATGACGTAAAGTTATGCAAAGGTTAAAGCATCAAAAACGTACAATTCAAGTGAGAGATTCTTAAACACAGGTATCCAACAAAATGAAGCCAGAATCCAGGACAAAGCAGTTTACAACAAGGATGTTGAGGAATACGAATTAGATAAACCAAAACAATTTTGATGGTCCTTCTCATGTTTTCTTGATTCCATGTCAACATGCTTAAAATTATTTTAAGGGTCTCTCTCTGTCTATCTATTTTTCCCAGAAAAAAATGCATTTCAGTGAATGAACTGCCATGCAGTTCACTGCACTTACTGACCTGCACTGCAATGAACTGCACACAGTCCAGTTCACTGCAGTGAATGAGTTTTGGAGAGAACTGTTCTGGAAAACAAGAAGTTGAAGAAGAAAGGGGAGAGAGGTC